GAAACCACGCCAGTTGTAAACAATACTTGTGTGAAAAGACAAAATCTTCTTTTCAAATTTCCGCCGAGTTGTAAGTAGAAGGCCAAATATGAAGGTCATGTGTCAATTTTAATTAAATATATTTTATACGAAGTGATCTTGACTACATTTTATCAATTAACCATTGGTAAAAATTAAAACAGGAATTTTACAATTGTGTTTACAAAAAACATTATTAGTCGAACCTTGCAGCTTGTTCATTATTTTTACTATAAATACCTATAAATGTATATATTATTAATAAATCATTCCTATAATATTTTGGATTATTTTTTATTTTGCCCTATCTGCAATGTTCTACGCTCTATAGAAAATGTGGCGTATGACAGACTGACAATCTTTCGAACGTTGTATCTAGGTACAAAGATGTTTTACGTTTTCATCGCCTCCACATGATATTTTTGTCAGCATAAAGTACCCTTCTATATCTGAAACGAATATAAATATTGCTACAAAGTAAAGTAATAGGCTATACAAGTATACTGGGCACAAGACTCTTTTTTTATTTCTGAGAGGGTTTTAGGGCAAGGAAATGCCCGCCGTGCTTCCCCAATGCGTGTTGACGAAAATTGCAATTACTAATTTCATTCGTGCTGTCGGGGATCAAACCCGGGAAAATTTACAGCGAACGCTTTGACCCAGATCTACTAATACGATACAAATAAATACGATTTAACATATAAAATAAAAAACTCTTACGTACTTGAAACTTGAACACTTGATAGCTCGTGACGCCTACCGGACAAAGCTACAGCACAATGTAATTGAAGATTCGTAATCGCGACATAATTCTCAGTGATGCGCAAGCATAACAGGCAGTATGTCACTTATATAATTGTCATCTCTGCAGTCTATTAATCTTTGCACTTTTATAAGTAACACAGAACGTAGTTGCTAGACGGTGTTGACGTCGGCCAAAATCTCTGCGATCGCCGTTTCATCAAGGTCATTCAGGCTAGTTAAAGCCTTAAAGCAGCAAATCATATTATCAACAACTCTTCGCTTCACAATTGAGGAAAAAAATACATGCACTATCGATATTGAAGCAAGTCCGAAATGCTATCAATTTTTGTGTAATATTTTTATATTGCCCGCACCTTGCACACAACTTGCTAAATTATGATGTGAAACCTGTTACTAACACGTTAGCTGCCAAAGAGAATTTCGAAAAATGAAAAAAGTCACCCACTTTTTTTTATATTACATTGAGTTTTGGTGTAATTATAAGCCTACGGTATTATTACATAGCGTTAGCTTGTAAAATGTATATATAACGTAATTAATTATAAATTTCTATTTTGTTTTTATTCTGTATTGCTACACCTACTTCAAATTCTCACCACTCCATGGGTTGACTGGTAGAGAATGCCACAAGGCATTAAGTCTTTGTGAGCCCTTTGTATTCTTTTAGATTAAGAAATGCAATAAGGAATAAATAAATAAACAATGCTTATAAACTACTGACGGACACATTAGTCCGATGTGGCCTGAACGGAATAATTGTGGGTCACTCTGTCGGACAACATAAAACACTGTCAAACAACAAAAAATTTTCGAAATATCACGAATAAAAGGGTTGTTCAAAAAGAAAACCAAGGATAATTCTGAACTGTAATGAAGCGAAATCAGAAGCGGATTTGTCGGACCAGATGTCTGCATACTGGACTCCGCTTAGGAAGACAGCAAAATGGTATCGAAAATTAGGATTCGAATTACTTCTCAATAAAGCTGTTGTGAAGGCTTCGGTGTTATACAAGCAAACAACTAAAAACAACATTTCCAATGTACAGTTTAGAAGAGCGAGTTACATACACCTATGATATGACGATCGCTGACTATGCACCTAGAATAGTTGCTATGTAAACCGACAGGAATGCAGGCGCAGCAATTCAAGCCACGTGCCGGATGTATAAAACATCACGTACCTCAGTTACACGAGGTTCATTCTGTTAGATTAATTAGCTATAGTAACATAATTTGTAATTTTTATTTTAAATATATTTTATAAGTAAATTTGGTTTTTTTTTTGAACCTCCGGCCGCAGCTAACGTAATTGGCGCAGTCGGTAGGATACTCAGGGGTAGTTTTGCGATAGTTAGGGAATATCTTTTCATAACCGTGAAGCACCCCGGCGGCTATCAAGTCCCTTCGAAGAGTATCCGGATCTACGGACCAGCTGCAGACCAGGAGGAGAATCCAGCCTTCGATTCATCGAGAAAAACCAGATGAAATCCACGTGAGTACACTTGAATTGATCTCGTGTTGCTCTCCCTTATCCCTAAGTTTAAATCTTTCCCTTCAAGATTTATCATCCTAGAGTAACTCGTTCTCGGGAGCCTGAATCTCGACAGGCTCGCCGTCATATATTAGATAATAGTAGGCAAACCGATTTAGATTTAGAATTAGAATTAAATAATACTTATTTAACAGAGATGGCCCATGACCCGGACACAATTTTTAAGGCTTTACGCCTCGTCCCGGAGTTTGATGGGAACCCTAACGTTTTAACTAGATTTATAAAAATATGTGACAGACTAGCTTCGCAGTATCTAAGCAATGCGCCCGATAGTGAATTTTCTAATTTATGTCTTTTGAACGGTATTCTTAACAAAATAACAGGAACCGCTGCCTGCACTATAAACTCTAATGGCATTCCTGAAAATTGGTTAGGTATTAGGACAGCACTAATAAATAATTTTTCCGACCAGCGGGACGAAACGGCTTTATATAATGACCTCTCCTTAGCTTCGCAAGGCAACAGAACTCCACAAGAATTTTACGACCATTGCCAAACTTTGTCTAGCACGATAATGACTTACGTGTCTTTACATGAGACTGTGGGATACCAACAATGGACAAAGCCACTTCGCGCGCGCACACGGCCATCGGAATACTTCGGCAACCTTCGGAATTTACGTCCGTGACATTAACCATACTCTCATCACGCCAAGGTGCCCTTCACTCGCTCAGAGATTCCGGAGTAGACGCACGTTCGATCGCCTTGCATTTTTCTATACTTACGATAGTTTAATTCCCGTATTGTTTTGTTAGTTTCCGCCCTTTTACTCTTGTTCTTTTTGTTTGTATCCAGTGTAGTATTTTTTGGCTTGTTTTATGTGTTAAATGTAAATTCTAATTTAAATCATTATAGCTGACTTATACTGAACTTTGGACTTTCTTTGTTCACCATACTACCTAAGTCATAGTGCAGTTAAGAATACCTAATCGCTACAAGACCATACCGACCACCATCGATGCCAAACGGGACCTTTATAGGAAAGTCGCAATGCAAGCATATGTCCGCGGCTTAAAGGAACCTTTAGGATCTCGTATACGTTGCATGCGACCATCGACAATAGAGAAAGCTTTAGAATATGTACAGGAGGAATTAAACATTATGTATCTCCAACAGCGCAATGACTCCATTAAAAGTCAACATTCCCCCAGTTCATTCCACCATCCACACCACCTTCCATTCCTCAACATCAACCTTTCCAAACTCCAGTACCTAATTGGCCAGTTCCTGTTGGGCAAAGACCTTACAGACCCCCACCTCAGCCGTTCAAATTTCCTCAACCCGTACCACACCAACAGCGCATGCCAACTAATACCCAGCGCATGTTTGGTGCAACCCGTCCTAACTACAACCAGCGTAGTAACGTGTTCCGATTACCACCCCGAAATAACCCTCAACAACCTCAGCCCATGAGTGGAGTCCAGCGTTTTATTCCCAAGGCCTTACCACACACAAAAATGTTGACAGGACATGACTGGAATAAATTTGGCAATCCGCCACCAACAAATTATTTTAAATCCCGCGAAATGAATACAAACGAATGCGCTGCGTATAGCGATTCATATTACGAGTATAACCCTGAATACGAGTACGCATACTACACCGACTTTAACAATGCTTATGCCCCGGATTTCGCTTCTGATTTTTCTTATTATGACTCGACTGACGAAAACCAAGACAATAATTATTATATTCAAAATCAATCACAAGTAGAGTCTAAGCACTCCGATCAGGATTTTCAGGACGATTCGACTATAAAAAAACAAAAATAGAATTAAATCTTCAGACTCAAAGACAATTACCATATATACAGATAGCAAACCCCCCATTAAAATTTCTAATAGATACTGGCGCGAATCAGTCTTTTATTAGCCCTGAAGCAGTAGGAAAATTTTTCAGCGATTTCCCACTTAATTTTGACCCATTCGAAGTAACAAACATACACGCGACAAGTCGTAATAATTATTCTATAACGTTACCTTGTTTTTCTGAATTTAATGATTCCGATAAAGTGAAATTCTTTGTATATCGCTTTCATGACTATTTTGACGGCCTTATAGGTTTGGACTTATTAAGTAAATGGGAGGCCCGTATAGATTTAAAGGAAGGACAATTAATAACGCATTCAGCATGTAATCCCATAAAATTATATAACTCGCGTAATGTTAATTTATACGAAGATATAATACCTGCCAGCTCTTCGAAAATTATTAGAGTTCCATTGGATACAAAGGATGGCGAAGCCTATATTACGGAACAGGTTCTATGTAATTGTATTATTCATGAATGTGTTACCACTGTCGTCAATAATCGCGGTTATATTGAGGTAGAGAACCCAACGCCAAACGATATAATATTTTCATTCGACCGACCAGCCCACGCGGAATTATTTAATATTGAGTGCACGCGTACCGAACAATTATCAGCACGCGCAAAAGACGTAGTTTCGCAATTACGTACAGACCACCTAAACGAGGAGGAAAAGGCTAATTTAGTAGCACTTTGCTCTCGTTACTCGGACGTTTTTTACATAGAAGGTGAAAGCCTCACTTTCACAAATAGAATAAAACATCGGATTCGAACCACGGACGAAGTACCAATACACACTAAAAGCTATCGTTATCCATTCATACATAGGCAAGAAGTTAAGGACCAAATAAGCAAAATGTTAGATCAGGGTATTATAAGACCTTCCGAATCTGCATGGAGCTCACCCATCTGGGTTGTGCCAAAGAAAGTAGATGCTTCTGGCAAACAGAAGTGGCGTCTTGTAGTTGACTTTCGTAAATTAAACGAAAAGACACTTGACGATAAATACCCTATCCCGAACATTAGTGATGTTCTTGACAAATTAGGGAAGTGCCAGTATTTTACCACCTTAGACTTAGCAAGCGGATTTTATCAGGTCGAAATGGACCCTTAGGACATAGCGAAAACAGCTTTTAATGTAGAGCATGGCCATTTCGAATTTCTTCGCATGCCAATGGGCCTGAAGAACAGTCCATCTACGTTCCAAAGAGTTATGGACAATGTCTTAAGGGGGCTGCAAAATCATATATGCCTTGTATACCTAGATGACATAATTGTGTTCAGCACTTCGCTCCAAGAACATATGGTTAACCTAGACAAAGTATTTAGTAGACTTCGCGAGTCCAACTTTAAAATTCAAATGGACAAATCGGAGTTTCTCAAACATGAAACGGCTTATCTCGGTCATATTATCACCAGGGACGGTATTAAACCAAACCCCGATAAAATTTCGGCTGTACAAAAATACCCTATTCCAAAGAATCCAAAAGAAATTAAACAATTTTTAGGCCTTCTCGGTTATTACAGAAAGTTCATTCCGGATTTCGCCCGTATTACTAAACCATTAACTCAGTGTCTTAAGAAAGGCAAAAAGGTAACAATAGACAATAATTACGTTAACGCTTTCGAAAAATGTAAGTCTCTTTTGACAAACGATCCCATCTTGCAATATCCAGACTTTACTAAAGAGTTTAACCTAACGACAGATGCTTCTAACTTTGCCATTGGTGCCGTACTGTCACAAGGTCCAATAGGATCCGACAAACCAGTCTGTTACGCTTCTCGTACGTTAAACGAAAGCGAAGTTAATTACAGTACAATCGAAAAAGAACTTCTCGTCATAGTCTGGGCTACGAAATACTTTAGACCATATTTGTTTGGACGTAAATTTAAAATTTTGACAGACCACAAACCATTGCAGTGGATGATGAATTTGAAAGAACCAAATTCTCGTCTCACAAGATGGCGACTTAGACTTAGCGAGTATGACTTTACAGTAATTTATAAGAAAGGCAAAACTAACACCAATGCCGATGCTCTCTCACGTATAGAGATTCACAATGAAGACGTAATGATGTTAATGAACGAAATTGACGAACTAAACTCGTTAATAGGCAACCCAAGCGAAGGTATTGCAAACTCTTCGACTGAGACCGTACACACCAGTAACGAACACCCTATACTTGAAATTCCTATAACTGACGAACCACTCAATAAGTTTAATAGACAAATTCACTTGACTGTCGTTAGCGACGTTAAACGGAAAACCATCGTGACTAAACCCTTCGATACCCATACACGTGTTAGCATCCAACTATCGGAAAATAGTCTCGAAGAAGACGTCATAAACGCTGTAAAAGAGTATGTCAATCCGAAAATCAAAACAGCTCTCTTAATAAACCCACCTTTAGCATTATATAAAGTAATACCAATCTTACAGGATAAATTTAAAAGCTCTTCACTTAACCTTGTTCTAACTAAATTCGAGTTAGAGAATGTTAAGGAATATTTGAGACAGCAAGAAATTATTCGTCACTATCACGACGGTAAAACCAACCACCGTGGTATTAACGAGTGTTACTTAGCATTATCTCGCAAATACTATTGGCCAAAAATGAAAGACCATATCACAAAATTTATTAACGAATGTACCATCTGCGGACAGGCCAAATATGATAGAAACCCAGTAAGACCTCAATTTAATGTATTACCACCTGCAACCAAACCCTTTGAGATAATTCACATGGACCTCTTTACAGTTCAAAGTGAAAAATATGTAACTTTTTATAGACGTTTTTACAAAATACGGACAAGCTTACCATTTACGCGACGGAACCGCTATTAGTATATTACAGGCCCTTCTACAATATTGTACCCATCACGGTGTTCCCCTAACAATAATTACTGATAACGGAACAGAGTTCACTAACCAATTATTTTTAGAATTTACTAGACTCCATAAGATAAATCACCATCGTATTTTAGCCCATTCACTTAACGATAACGGTAATATTGAAAGGTTCCATTCGACCCTTTTGGAACATATTAGAATTTTAAAATTACAACATAAGGACGAACCAGTCATCAATCTCATGCCTTACGCAATAATAGCCTACAATAGCTCAATACACAGTTTTACTAGGTGTCGACCATTTGACTTATTAACGGGACACTTTGACCATAGAGACTGTCTTGACATCGACATAACCCAGAAACTACTACAGCAGTATGTACAGACGCATAGAGACCAAATGAAAAAGGTGTACGAAATTATTAATAGCACGTCACTAGCCAATCGCACAGCCATTGTAGAGAGTAGGAATAAGAACCGCGAATCGGAAATAGAATACGCGCCGCAGCAGCAAGTTTTTATTAAAAATCCATCTGCCGCCCGACAGAAAACCGCACCATGTTATACTCAGGACACTATATTAGCCGATTTACCCATTCACATATACAGGGTATTTTTGGAACGCTCCCGAAAACTAAGACAGGCGACAGCACCAAGTATACCTTTGATCATGGGTTAAAAATAAAGTCGATCCTGATGAAAAAAAAATCATCTTTTAACAACGTTTTATTAGCTTTACTCACGCGCCATCATGTTAGTACAGCTAAATGAAACGATAATTTCATAAAAAATATCATGAAAATACTGAAACATAAAACCAGCAGTGGAAACTGAATTGATATCACCTGACTAATGGAGGTTAATGTACGCGCAAACGGTGAAAAACAAACGCTGGCCTTGAACTTGGGCACTGAGCGATTTATCACATATTGGTACGAAAGACGCGCGACGGGGGAACAATCCGCCAGTATTAGTGTGCCTGCATGCTATTGGTTCCCGCGCTTTGTTCGCTCCAAAAATACAGTCGCATACACAGCTTACTTTGCGACTCGCGACGATGTTTTAAAAAGGAAGGAAAGAAAAATTATTTATATCTATTGTTTTATGACTAAACTAGTGATCGAAAAGGTAAATATGATAGGAGAAGGTGAATGGGGAAAATTGTGCAGTAAAGTTAAAAGTGTGGAGGAAGAATACCGAAAAAATTACCATGTGATCGACCTGATGACGGAAGCTCAAGCGAAGATGAAAGTGATGATCAAGTAGCATCCAGTAACACCAACACACCATTAACATCTGGCTTCCATGTGACCCAAGACGTCATAATGGACGGCGTGTTACCCTTAGCTAAAGTTTTCTTGTTACAAACTACTTTATATTTTACGATAGAAATAACAAATAATGCTCATGTAAACATTATCCATTTTTAATTCCCACCTCTTCCAAAGTTCTAAGTAGCTAGTAAAACACCTATTATGATTCTACATTAAAACAATTAATTACTATAATATTATAAAACAATAGCCCAATACCATGTAGTACTTTAGAACGCGATTGTACCCACACCCCCTCCGCTATCGACCTGTATCTAGCTCGGTACGAAACACGCGGTCGTAAGAAAAAAGGGCGCATCTAACAATTTATGAATAAATGAGTTAAATATACCATTCGATTCATGATAAGAAGGCGCATCTACTAAATTTTTTTAATATTCACAAATATCAATATTTTAGAAATTATCGTAAGAATTTTAGACGTAACTGTTGATCACAGATGACTTTTTTTAGTAGAAAAGACTTATACAAATTCAACATAAAAGAAAAGACCAACCAGTTGCTACGTCATCTTTAACAATATTTGCATCGATTACTTAAATTTCAATTATTCTTGGTCTTCTTATTATTCTATATCTTATTATTAAGAGCTTATATCTTATTGTTAAGAGCTGGTGTTTCACATGTGGTCCCATATAAATTTGATCGAGGTCAGACCAATAGTTTTTGAGTTATCCTTAATTATTTATATTAAAGTCGGTTGTACAAAATTTTTAATTTTTAATTATTATCGTAGTAAGTCTTGTATGATATCCCCTTTAAAATCATTACTTTTTAAAATTATTATTTTTTGTGTCTCACTACCAATGCTTTTCTAATATTTATTAAAAAAAAAAGTAGTAAATTACTATTAGCGTCCTTTCAACTTCAAATGACCTTTCCAAAATATGTAAAATTGTTAAATGAATGGCAGTTTTTTTTTTAAATTTATTAGGTTGGAAAGACGCAAATAGTTATATGCGTCTTTCCTTCGATGTTTTTGTGTTGCCAGGTGTATTTTTTAAGCTAAGATGAAAAGGAAAATTCGTTTTATTTAAATAAATAAACAAATTAAAAAAAAAATAAGTTCGTCCTTAAAATCTTCATGTCTCTACGTATATATTTCAATATAGATACCTTTTAATATACTTTAGACACGGGGTCTGAAAGAAAAATTCATCAATTTATTTTTTATTTCCATTTTACGTTTTTGTTAGTTACTTCCTTTTTTATTATGACGGCAGAATGCCTAACCCTGTCGCCTCACGCTTGTGACGCAGTAATTTTCAGCCTTGACGGGGTTCGTTGGTTTTAGTTTTTGAGACAGTTTCGTGTTGATTTTGTACACGCGTGCGCGAGCGACAGTTCAATCGTTTTGTTTAATAAATTTACTTGTGATTACGTGTTGATATTAAAGTTTTTGTTACGTTTTTGGATTCTTTTTTGTTTTAATAATGCCTAACGCGTACGGTTATAGTGGTTATTATACTGCCGTTGGTTATTATATCAGCAACAACGTGTGCCTGGTTCCATTGAGCACATTATCTGGACGGATGAGTCGACATTTACCAGAAACGGCCTGTGGAACCGAAGAAATACACACGTGTATTCAGAGGTTAACCCGCACGCTGTTCGACAAACCGGGCACCAAACCCGATGGTCGGTTAACGTATGGACAGGTTTATTTAAGGATCGCATACTGGGACCAGTGTTTCTGCCAGAGCGACTGAACGGACAGCGATACCTAAACTTTATAAATGAACAGTTGGTTGACATTTTAAACGACCTATCGTTGGCTGAATATCGCCGCACTTAGTTCCAACATGATGGTGCCCCTCCACATTTCGTGAGGTTCGTCCGTGAGCGCCTCAATGAGCTATTTGATGATCGCTGGATCGGCAGACTAGGACCACACGCTTGCCCACCTCGCTCACCAGATCTGACTCCGTTAGACTTCTTTTTGTGGGGTATGTGAAAGAAAGGGTTTTTAATCGTGAATGTGATAGTGCTGAAGAAATGCGCCAAAGGATCGTGGATGCTTTCGAGAAACTACGTACGGACTGTGTCGAAGACCACACGATGATGCCCCGCCTGCACCCAAGTCTGCCTTGAAATGAATGGAGCACAATTTGAGCCGCATCTCATAAGACCACGGAGGATTTAGAGCAGTAAGCTGTTTCATAACTATTTTTTTTGAAATAACTTAGTACAAGACTAATCTGAATAGGTACACGATGAATAAAAACGCATGACTCCAACCTTGGTTACATTTCATTTAAGTATTTCTTCATTAGCGGGGAATCGAACCAGTTATTTGGGTTATTTAACCTGTAAATTCGGATTAAAGTGGCTACGTGGAGATAAGCACAGTGGCAAAATAGTAGGTTAAGTAGATAAGTTAGGTATTTAGACACGTGTTGTAAATTATTAGGTATTGTTGGAAGGCCCGCTAGTTGCGGGCCGCGCGAATTTGTGTTCGCGCGTACATTGACCTTTATCTAGCTCAGGTCAGGTGATATCAATTCAGTCATTCCACTGCTGGTTTTATGTTTCAGTATTTTCATGATATTTTTTATGAAATTATCGTTTCATTTAGCTGTACTAACATGATGGCGCGTGAATAAAGCTAATAAAACCTTGTAAAAAGATGATTTTTTTTTCATCAGGATCGAATTTATTTGTGACCCATGATCAAAGGTATACTTGGTGTTGTCGCCTGTCTTAGTTTTCGGGAGCGTTCCAAAAACATCCTGTATACATCTAAAAAACGTGGTCCAGTAGCAAAATCACGGCTCAAGCGTGTTCCTAAAGCAGTTAATTTGTTGCAGGATACTGCTAATAATGCTCCTTCAAAGGACTCAGATGACAGAGATAAAACTTGAAAGTCTATCAGACGGACCAGGACTACTACCGTATAAACTAGGACCCACGAAATTGACTACTCATTACCATACATTTTTACAGTACGTACAACTCGATGACATTGAAGATAATATCCACTCCCTACAGAATCAACTACTGACTTTCCAAAACCGACTGACTAACGATACTTATTTACTATACGAAATCCAAATAGATTATCTGTCTAACAAACTTGGCAAGGTGTTAAGTCATCTCAGAACCCTAAAGCCCAATAGAGCTAAAAGAGGTCTTATAGATAGTCTTGGTTCAGTTATAAAAAGCATAACGGGTAACTTAGATTATACAGACGCGTTAAGATATAACGAGGCAATTAAAACCCTTAAGGATAATCAACTGAGCGTTGCATCCGAATTCAATCAACATCTCAGCTTAAGTAAAGAATGGATGTCGAAGCATAGTAATGCAATTATTGAGATAGCGGAAAATCAAAGAAAAATTAATGAGACTTTGATACTTATATTAAATAGTGATGCATATAGGCAAACTAGTTTAATTAAATACGCTAAATTCGCGCAATTGTTAGAAATAATTAGTGATAATGTAGAGGACTTAATGCTAGAATTAATTAGAATAGAAAACACTTTAGCTTTTATTCGTGCATCTAGCACGCATCATTCTATGATAGATATAGATGTATTAGGTTCCATGATAAGTAAGCTCAGAAGTATTTACAGCTCAGATCAAATAGTAAATTTAGAACTCAGAGACTATTATGACGTAATAAAACCCGGCTCATATTACACGGAGAAACAAATCGTGTTCATCTTTAAATTTCCTATAACTTCTAGAGATAATTTTGATTTATATAAATTATCCATTGTCCCAAATAAAAATTCACAGGCCCTTATCCCAACCTATCCCTTCATGGCAACTAACGAGTTATCATTCGCGTACATAGAGACAGAATGTCCGAAGTTTAACCACTGGTATCTCTGTGAAGAACGCACTACCTATCAGATCCGAACCCAACCCGATTGCATCCAAGAATTGATTACCAAGCAAGTCATACAAGAAGCCTGCAATCTTACTACTATCATCCTGTCAAAAGAAGCGATGGCAAAACTAGATGACCAGCATTATATCCTGTCCTTTCCACACTATACCAAGGTACAATTGTCTTGCGGAAGAAAAGAATTCACCATGCTACAAGGGAGTTATCTCATTACGATTCCAGCCAGCTGTCTTCTTAAAACTGCCGAGTTCACTATCGTCAACGACAATAATGAGATAAAAGGTCAACCTCTAAAGCTCACTGGACTACCTTTCAGATCTCCGGAACAAGCTACAGCATCTACCCGCATCCACCTAAACTCAATCTATCTCCAAGGATTATACAGCATCCAAGACAAAATTCTCATGCAATCACCAGTACAACTACGTGCCATAAGTGACACACTATACCATACGACAATTCCCTTTTATATCATATTATCGAGTGGAGGTATCCTTATCTTTGTACTGGCCACCCGTCGCTACATATCAAGATGCAGAAAGGAAACGAGCAAAGCAGCGCAATCACCAACATCTAATTCAGAAGATCATGGAAACCCCGAAATTCCGGCAACATTTTCCCTGAACATACTCAAATAGTTGCCGTTCTGAGGGTGGAGGAGTTACATACACCTATGATATGACGATCGCTGACTATTCACCTAGAACAGTTGCTATGTAAACCGACAGGAATGCAGGCGCAGCAATTCAAGCCACGTGCCGGATGTATAAAATATCACGTACTCAGTTACACGAGGTTCATTCTGTTAGATTAATTAGCTATATTAACATAATTTGTAATTTTTATTTTAAATATATTTTATAAGTAAATTTGGTTTTTTTTCGAACCTCCGGCCGCAGCTAACGTAATTAGCGCTAGTTGACCATCTCATGTTTTCAAACAATGAAAACTAGTCTCAACTGACCCCAGCACCAAGGTGGTCGCGACTGAGGCATCAGCTCTGAAGAAAGGAAGGAAAGGCCAAACAATCACGAAGAAATTGTCATGGAAGTTACAAGAAAAACGTATAAACTATTGGCAGGCAAACAGCACGCAACGAAACAAAAAAAAAGTTTGTAACCTTCCGTCCGATTTGCCCCAGAAAGTCACACTTGTGCCTAGATTGCTTCAATGTTCAACACCGTTAGGTCTTTTTTCGATTTATAATTATTTTTTGTGTCTAAAGTAATTACCTGTAGTGGGTGGAAGGAAAAGGGGAGATCTCCCGCCGGGCAAGGTGTTCTGCCCGGGGAGCGGCCAGCGCTCCGATTGGTAGTTCAGAGCTATTCTATATATGCTGCTTTAATTTCGGAACTTTGATAGCGCGATTTAGGCTTCGATGTGTTTCGCTTGTGGCGCGACGACAGCGCCGCCACATACCCATAAAAAAAAAACATTGAAAATTGATCTCATGTTCAAATAAACAAACGATTAGATAAGTGGTGTTTTTATTTGCAAATAACTTATTTTATTTTTATACTAATAATTTATTTTTCGTCTCTAGCATTCCAAATATTCAAAAAAATTAGGATGACACATTATTTTTAATAAACTACAGGGCCGCGCGGTTCAATTAGTATGCGCAAATCTAATGAAAAAGCGGCCTCCGGCCTGTAAGCCTAAGTCAAAATAAGGTGTGCCCTGTCGGTCACTAATGTCCGACGTGGCCTGAATGAAACATTTATTGGCGGTCACCATTGTCCGACATGGCGACCAACGTGTTAATGATAAAATATTTTCACAATTAGAAGCAGCACACGATGGTAAACTGTGTGCTGCTATTCAATCAAACGGCCCTGGAAGTCAATTTAAAATATAGTGACAGACTATACAATGTTATCGGATTTGTAACCGATGAAAATTTCACCAAGTCTGACATGGCTGAACATGTACATTGTACATGGTATTCATGATTTGGGGTCTTGTTAAAAATTATAAAAAGGCTGTGTCTTACGCTTTCTCTGCCACTTCTAATTCAGGGGCAGAAATTTAAAGACAATAGTAAAAAAAGTTACAAAAAGCAGGTTTAACTGTAGTTGCAACAGTCTGTGACCAGGGTACTAATAATAGACAAGCTATAAAATTGGTAGCAAATGAAACATGAGGTGTCTTTTATACCGATTCGTTGCTGCACCAATTTTCGACAACTATTTAATATATTATAATATATATAAATATTATATATATAAATATTATATATATAAATATTATATATATAAATATTCTAACAAATATGTCATGACACGCCGGGCGTGTCAAGCGCCAAGGTGCCATCCGCCATGAGTAAAAGTAATGTTCTTTTTTATGCTTTTTTACTTGTTTAGACCTAATTAAGTTTATTTGACATCAAACACAAGTTACAAATGGAAGGATACTTGTTTTTAGTGGGTAACTACGTGTTTTTTTCGCGTCATACGCCACACACAAAAGTAATCGATGGCACGCCTGGCGTTTCACCAGCACTGAACGGCTTAAAAGCAGGAAAAGAACCTAAGAAAAATGTAATAATGATAGAAAATCAAGAAATTATTCCTTTATATGATACTCCACATCTTCTGAAGTGAATTAGAAATAATTTACTTATCAATGATAAAGTTCAGACAGCTAAATAAAATTTTTTTATAGGAGGGGGCAAACGAGCATGCGGCTCACCTGATGGTAAGTGACTACCGCCGCCCATGAACAGCTGCAACACCAGGGAGGGAATCGCAGATGCGTTGCCGGCTTTTTGAAAAGTAGTACGCTCTTTTCTTGAAGGTCCCTAAGTCGTATCGGTCCGGAAAAATCGCTGATGGTAATCGATTCCACAAGGAAGTCGTGCGAGGAAGAAAACATCTTCTAAATCGCACAGTGGTGGAACGCCAATCATCCAGATGGTGTGGATGGTATCGGGAGTTAAAATTTGGCGGCTGGGATTAATCCGAACAATTCCTCAGAGCACTCCCCGTGGTAGATGCGAAAGAAAATGGAAAGGGATGCAACATCTCTTCGCAGTGCTAATGAATCGAGCCGATCGGAAAGGATTCGGTCGTCGACGATTCGAGCCGCTCTGCGCTGGATGCGGTCAAGTGGAAGGAGCTGGCACTGGGGAGCCCCTGCCCAGAGATGGGAACAGTATTCCATGTGAGGCCGAACCTGCGCCTTGTAAAGTTGCAGGCGGTGTGCCGGCATGAAATACTGTCCCGCTCTGCTGAGCACGCCAAGCTTTTTAGAGGCCAATTTGCCCTTCTCTTCCAAGTGACCACGAAACTGCACGTCACTCGATATGTCGACTCCGAGGATTCTGGCTGATGATACTGGCTGAGGCAAGAAGGGGAGTGCCTTGAAACTGAGGAGATACGAAAAAGGGGTTCTGTTTAGCGGTAAACGCGCAAACTTGTCTTCTGAGGATTAAACTGGACTAAAGTTCAGCAAAGACTCGACTTCAGACACAAGTTTGTTCCGGTACTAGGCGACGTTTTCCCGAGAAATATTGGCACAGCCGGTGTATAGAGCATCACCAGTGCTGTCATCCGCGTAGCAATGAATGTTACCTGTTAGCAACATATCATTGATATGCAGAAGAAACAGCGTTGGTGATAGCACACAGCCTTGTGGAACGCCAGCGTTAATAGGCTTGTAGTCGGAGCATGCACCGTCTACAACGACCTTGATGCTCCGATCTGCAAGGAAGCTGGTGATCCAATCGCACAATTACTCGGGAAGCCCATGGCAAGGGAGCTTCGAAAGAAGCGCTTTGTGCCAAACCCGATCGAAGGCCTTCGCAATGTCCAAACTGCTTACAGAAATTCCCTTGGACAGCCTTGGCGAGAGACCAGAATGCACGGGTTCCCGAAGGAAGGCGAACTAGTTTCTCGCTAATTCTGCCTATGTGCTCTGATTTTGCCTTGGCAATAACTCTTTTGAAGGACCTGGAGGCGAAGTTATACTTCTTTTTAAGTGTGCTAGTGTTTACATCCCGAGTCGCCGAAGCCGCAGCCCAGGCTTGATAACACTCCTGCTTAGTGAACTCCTACATAAAGAAAATCCTGGCTACAAGACCATAAGACTGATACCTAAGGTCACAGATAATCATGTTTTACCCAACGAGATACCAAAGATGAAGTTAACATATGCAAGTCAAATTTTTGTAGGACTGTGGCATCTAATATGGGCTATCTTGCAGGTAATAAATAGTTTATTATAATAATTTCATAATATAATATTGTAATATCTTTCTTCCTTAATATTGTAATGTTGTAATCAGTCCTTATTCTGATTTGATAAAGGGAGTGTTGGTCTAGTAATAGTATAATAAAAAAATAAGTTGCGATCTATAAATGTACCACTACTAGGCAAAGATCCTGTCATTTAAAAAAAAAGTACCGTAAAATTATACAACTATAGTGCAGGGTCCCAACTATAGTCCAATAAAACTATCCGACAAAATTAAAGCTGTATGGACGTGTAGCGACATGTAGTTTATTACTTTATACTATTTTCGTTTCTTGACGTCTGTTCGTTGTAGTTATATTCATGGACAACAGATGTCTCTCTAATTCAAATTAGTAGACCTTCTCCGATGAAAACCTGTTTGAACGCGTTAACTGAATATCGTAAACTTTTATTTGAAAATATTGGTTAAAGTGAAGACAAAGTTTCAGAATTGGATTCATATGGTAAGTTAAGATTCTGTCATTCATTTTACGTATAGTTTATTGTATAAATACACCTATATAAAAAAAAAAATTCTCGTAAGTACCCTCTTGGATCTCAACTACGGTCCTACTGGTTTTTTGGACCATAATTAAAAACTATATTATTATGTTACAGAAAATGTTGTCACGAGATAAGTTGATGAGAAGAAAAGTTGGAGGGAGGGCTTATAAATGTTATAGTGAACGGCAGATGGAACTATGTTTATCAGATATAACAAATAAAATTCTAACTCAACGCGAAGCTGCTGATAAATATAAAATTCCTCGAAGTCCACATTATTTTAAAATTAAAAGCAATACGAACAAATAAAGTTAGACAACCAGGCCGTCAGCGTATCTTTTCTGATACCGAAGAAACGGCTTTCATCCAGCATGCAATCGAAATGTGTAATTACGGTTTCCCTATTACCGTTTTTTATTTAAGGTGCATTGTAAAAATGTATCTCGACAGAACAGGACGTAAAGTAGACCAATTCCAAAATAATTTACCTGGCAAGACTTGGGCGAATATTTTTCTGAGACGCCACAAAAATGAACTATCTCAAAGGTTTTGTTCTAATATAAAGAGGGTGAGAGCAGCTGTAGACGAGCTGCTCTCACCCTCGAGCTCGTCGAGCAGATTCGGGCGTATTTTGAGCATTTGAAGACTGAAATTCAAGGAGTTCCAGCCGAAAATGTTTATAATTATGATAAAACCAACCTTGTTGACGAACCAAGCAAGAAAAAAGTGCTTATGAAGCGTGGATGTAAATATCCAGAAGCTATAAAAAATTCAACGAAAGCAGCCGTTAGTTTAATGATATGTGGCAATGCTGCAAGAGAAATTTTACCACCTTACGTAAACTACAATTCAGACAATATGTGGAGCACGTGTACAGAGGGTGGGCCACCTGGCACTCGTT